ATTTGATGTGTGCTTTACTGAGCTGTTGTCATCCTTGGAAAGGGACAACCTATAAAAATGTTAAAAGGAGAATAATTCTGTGATGTTTTGCAATAATTCATTGAATGCTGTGATGGATAGGGCTCGTTCAAAAGATTTTGATTAATGACTCCTTGCATTTCTCCCCCTGCCTCGCAAATTGGAATTAAAGGGAAAAAAGGAACCTTTACAGGTATAGGCAGATCTCCATCTTCCTGGGGGAAGGGAAAGTGGGCTGGGAAAGGGAAGGATGAGAAAGGAGAGAGGGCAGCCAAGCAGAAGGGTGACATGAAGCATGCATTGTTGAATGGCTCTGTGATCTTTCCCGTGAGTATTATCTGCTCCTACAGCAGAGCAATAAACCCCAAACAAACACTACTTAACTGAGTGTTGATAACACATAACAGTAACAAGCGTTATGGTCACTGATACTGTAACTACGCCCAAAACATGCATTAAAAACTCTGTAAAACTCCCTGTAAAAATTACACCTCGACATACCAGGCCCCCAGGTAAGTGAAAACACCGAAGCAGCTCTGTTTGCCTCTGAGTGTCACCACACCATTATCACTACATTTTAACACGATCTCAAAGCTGATTAGGTCTATTTATAGGCATGCCTGTTTGTTTATGTTTTCCAGACACAAATTTCCTTTCCTTCTCGCATCACTTCCTGGTTGGGGCACGTTTGCTTTTAAAATGCTTTTACCATCTGTCCCACGTCTTCTGCTGACGGTCCCTGGGCCGGACACGCTGGGTGAAGGTGCAGCTCCCGGTGTTTTGGCGTTACCCGCACTAAGCTATTGTTCCACACTGAAAACTGGGGGGATCCTGAGCATAACGCGGCGATTAAAAACGGGGAACAGCTCCAAATGTCATTTTTTGGTGATGGAGAGACGAACAACTTCTGAGGGCGCAGAGCCCACGGGGATGAAGCGGGGGCGCCTCTGATGTGCCGGGGGGGCCCCGCTGGCCGCCCCTCAGCGCCCAAACGCTCCTACTTGAGCTCCACCATTCTGTTTTCACAGCGTTTACCTATCCGCTAGAAAATTCTGAGGAGAACCTGCCATCCGGGCTCCGGCCCCAGCCTGAGGGGCTCCCGGTGCCCCGAGACTGGGGCGCTCAACTCCCGCACCGCGGGCCGCCCGCAGCCGCCACCTCGCAACAGCGCGGGGCGGGAAGGGCGCGGGGGAATCTTCTCTAAGCACGGAGAGGGGGAGACACCGGGCGGGGAGAGAGAGATAGAGAGGAGAGGGAGCCTCGGGTACCTGGACGCGCTTCCTGTGCCGCCGCCGCTCCGCCATGTTGTCCCCGTCCGCTCCGCCGGTGACGCGCGGGGGGGGGGGGGGGGGGCGGCCTCGCGAGAGGCGGCGGGAGCGAGCGGAGGGGCGGGAAGGGGGCGCGCCCGCAGCGCCACCGCCCCTCACCGCCCCTCGCTGCTCAGCGACCCGCCCCGCTCCCTCATCGTGTCTCCGCCATCCGCCCCGGTGCCTCTCAGTGCCCTCTCCGTGTGTCTGCCATCCGCCTCGGTCCCTCACAGTGCCTTCTCCGTGTGTCTGCCACCCGCCCCGGTCCCTCATCGTGTCTCCGCCATCCGCCTCGGTCCCTCTCAGTGCCCTCTCCGTGTGTCTGCCACGCGCCTCGGTCCCTCTCAGTGCCCTCTCCGTGTCTCCTCCACCCGCCTCGGTCCCTCACAGTGCCCTCTCCGTGTGTCTGCCACCCGCCCCGGTCCCTCGTCGTGTGTCCGCCATCCGCCTCGGTCCCTCACAGTGCCCTCTCCGTGTGTCTGCCACCCGCCTCGGTCCCTCTCAGTGCCCTCTCCGTGTGTCTGCCACCCGCCCCGGTCCCTCATCGTGTCTCTGCCATCCGCCTCAGTCCCTCACAGTGCCCTCTCCGTCCCTCCGCCACCCGCCTCGGTCCCTCTCCGTCCCTCAGCGCCTCAGCCATCCGCCTCGGTCCCTCACCGACGCGTCTTGGTTCCCCTCTGTCCCCTCAGCACCTATCGCACCCGGTCCCTCAGCGCCTCGGTCCATCGCCGCCCCGCAGCGCCCTGGCTCGGTCCCTCAGTCCCCTCCATCGCCCCTCAGCCCGCCACAGCCCCTCAGCCCTCACCACCTCGCCTCGGTTCCTCAGCCCCTCACCGACCCCCGTCGCCGCCCTCCCTTCGCACAATGCAGGATTGTTAGAGCCGGAGGGACTCTGGAGATCATCCAGCCCAGCTCCCCTGCCAAGGCACGGTCACCCACAGCAGGTGACACAGGAACGCGTCCAGGTGAGCTTGGAATGTCTCTGCAGAGGCAGACTCCACAAACTACCTGAACAGCCTGTTCGAGTGCTCTGCCACCTTCGATGTGAAGAAATTAACCCTCATGTTGAGGTGGAACGTTTTGTGTTTTACTTTATAGCCATTGCTCCTTGTCCTGTCACAGTGCACCACTGAGAACCCCTCAGCCCCTCTCCCCCCTCAGCCCCTGACCTTGCTCCAGCTCTGGCTATAAAAGTCTGTTTAGGTTTTGATACACTGAAATAGGATGTAAGGCCTTAAAGATGCTCAATGCAATGTGTTTGTTAACTGGTTCTTACTTAAACAAACTCATTACTTGGATCCCATATACTTACAGAATTAGATTCAGAAAGCAACCTATATAAAGCAGGAGGGCCTTTTGCCAGAGGTTGTCCCACATACTTGTGCAGTGAGGTCACTGGAGTTAGCAAAGCGCATAATCATTTATCCTGGCTCTGTGTTTCCAAACCACACCCTGGCACTTTGGGATGGAAAAGTATGTGCAGTGCTGCATTGTCTTGTCCAGTCCCCTCAAATCTTGTTGCCCCTTTCTGTTCCTATGATTTGGAACTCTCAGATTGAAAACTGGGCAACTAAGAACCTAAAAACGCTTCCAGAAGCATATTTGCCCCTCAGTTTCAGTGCCAGGTTTTGTGCTCTTTCTGGTACGACATCTTTTTCTGTTGAATGTTTTCCTTTTGCTGTTGCTGGGCAGAAAATCTATACAAGTTACAAATTAAGCTGACTGACTGCAGAGTGAGTGAACTAGAAAAGTGTAATTCAAAAGATGAACTTCTAGGTAGAGGGAATTGAAGTTTTTATGGTTACAATAAAACAATGCCTTGTAAAAAGCAGGCAGACTGCAGTTATTAAAAAATACATGCTTTAAGTTGGCAATAATTTTAACAGTGATTTCATGTACTTGACTTACAGTAACATAAAAGCACTCTGACATGGAGGCTTTCTTGCAGAAGAAGTTTCAGCCATCTGTAACTTACAGATGCTAATAGTACACGATGGCTGCAGTAAGGGCTTTGGCAATGGTGCAGCTCTGACCCTTCTGCTCTCCCTGCACAGGCACAAGCTGAGCCTCAGCTGTGAAACTCTCCCTGTGTATGGGAGATGCACTCTGGCCTCCTCCTGAAGGGTACAATCACCTCATGGGTCATCATCCCTCATACTTCTACTCTTGGGCTCTTTTAAGGTCTTAGGTCTTACTCCTCTATGCCTTCTGTCTCTTTGAATCTATTGCAGATTCACAAACCCACTTTTAATGCTCAGCTCTTCATTTTGCAGGGTTTTTTTTGGCATGGTAAGTTATCTGCAGTACATCAAGCTACTTGCTGCCAGAAAAGCACCTTGGATATGTGGTTAATGTATCTTTTTTCTTTTTTTTTTCTTTTTTTTTTTTTTTTTTACTTTCTACAGAAATTTTAATTCATCTTTGTGAAACACTAAATTGCAGAAGCTCTTCCCAGGACAGCTGGGCATGGAGCAGCACAGGGAACAAACGCATCACTTCAAGCAGATCTCTAAGAAAGGACTGAGGGATGGAAAATGGGCAAGGGAATGTGTAAGGCTGTGGATGGTGAATTCCTGCTACTCTGGAGTACGGAGCAGATCATGACTGAGTCACACATGGAACAAGTTTATTCTCAGTCATCAGAACGGCAGAGCAGGAGAGAAGCAAGTGGCTGAATTCCAAGAAAGCCATGGTGTGGAAGTGAAGGTTCAAACAGCTTGGGTTAGTGTCTGTCAGCTGTGGGGCAGGCTGCAAAAAGAAACATTGCAGAACCAGGCAGTGAAGACACAGCCCATAAAAGGCCAACTGCCATTGTGATTCTTGTAGGTTCAGAATTACTGTTGAGAAGGATGTTGCATACAAGTGGAGTGGTTTCCTCTTTCAACTGAAGCCAAACCAACAGCATTTCATCTTCTTTTCCCTCTTCTTTACCCCAGCTGTGTGATCTAATACAGCAATATGGATGCTGGAAGCTTGGCTCAAAAAACAGCTGGATATATTAATGGAATGAAAATACTTGATGAGCTACCATTAAATATAGGCATCACCTCTGCCTGTCTGGGTGATAGGACCCTGGAAATAAAGGAATTTCTGTCAGTTCTGTGCAAACAAACTTGCAAGAATCTTCTCCTCTGGACACACAGATAATCCTTCTGGATTTGGGAGAGGGAGGGGAGAATACACATTGGATAGGAAGGAGAGGGAGAGGAGAGGAGAGGAGAGGAGAGGAGAGGAGAGGAGAGGAGAGGAGAGGAGAGGAGAGGAGAGGAGAGGAGAGGAGAGGAGAGGAGAGGAGAGGAGAGGAGAGGAGAGGAGAGGAGAGGAGAGGAGAGGAGAGGAGAGGAGAGGAGAGGAGAGGAGAGGAGAGGAGAGGAGAGGAGAGGAGAGGAGAGGAGAGGAGAGGAGAGGAGAGGAGAGGAGAGGAGAGGAGAGGAGAGGAGAGGAGAGGAGAGGAGAGGAGAGGAGAGGAGAGGAGAGGAGAGGAGAGGAGAGGAGAGGAGAGGAGAGGAGAGGAGAGGAGAGGAGAGGAGAGGAGAGGAGAGGAGAGGAGAGGAGAGGAGAGGAGATTCCCTAGCAATCTGTAAGGAGCCATTTCCTCAATTTTCTACAGATGGTAGCATGCTGCAGGCTCTGGAGTGACCTCCCTTTTCATCCAGTCAGCTTCAACACTGAATGGGCTCAGAATATAAAGAGTACAGGCCTTGTACTGCACAGCATCACATACTGTCAAGAAAGGTTCAGATAAAATCCACCCACAAATACATGAGTCATAACTCAGAAACATATTCCAATGTAGACATATCTTGAGTCACTTCCATCTCAAAAGCTTATAAATATTTAGTTAGCCACTTAGCTTTTAATTTAGCAGAAAAACAAAGGTTTATTAGACAAATCTCCATAATTATCTTTCACTAAGAAAGTTCTTAAATACTTCCACTCTTGCCAGTTCATTTTCATTTCTATATAACCCAGAATTATTAGGTACAAATAACTGTCAAAAATCCTATTTGAACTAAAAACTAATTTCTGTGGTTCTTCTGTAATTATTTGCACTTATTTCTAATACCAGCTTTGTTCATTGTAAGAATATAATTTGATCTGAGCAGTAACTGGTGAGTAACTGAATACATCTCTCCTGATATGGCTTGGCACATCAGCTCTTTCTAAAGGCCACTGTCAGTCAGACCATGCTGGAGTCAGTGAGGATGTACATGGACACATAAATGAAAAATACATCAATACATTTTCTGGAAGAACCAGCTGAGGTTTTAGGGGAAAGTCTGTATAAAAAAGGCTTGCTTGTATCTCTGTTTTTGCTAGTGGCAGGAGGAGAGGATAAGAATTATAATATTTAAGGTATAGCCTTAAAAAACTCTACCTATCATTGTTTTATAAAATCATAAATTTGTTGTTATGATTACAAGTGTTTGAATTAAAAATATTTTTTATGTAAGGATGCAAGTCTTGAGTTTACATCTCTCCATTTAACAGGTTGAACTAGAAGCCAGGGAGTGCTTGACAGACCATCTCCCACTGCAGAGAGTTCAGGGACTACTGGAGTCCCACGAATCCCAGCTGCACAGTGCTCCTCCAGCAAAGCTGTTGGAACCATGGAACAGAAAGATAATCAGCAAAGACTGGCTGATGAGCCAAGGCTGCAACAAAGAACCAGGTTGGTTTGGTGCTTTCTTTTTTTTTTCCATGGTCAGTGGTGCTTTTTCTGTTTTGCTGTTTAGGTTGATTGATCTGTATGTCAGTAATTCACACACACAGATGCTATATGTGTTTTAAATTTTGGTAAATCAAAATGTCTATTCAGGCCTTTGCTGTGCTATAGGGAAAAATACTACATCATTCTCCATACAACATAGACAATAGGTTCTTCTTTAATCTGGGCTGAATTAAAGATTTGCATCCTTACCCACAGGGAAATTAGTGGTTCAAGAAGAGCATGGGGATAGTAGCAGAACTAATGTCTGTCTGGAAAAAAACAGATTTGGGTAAACTTGGGAATGGGACAAAGGAAAGGACAGCATAAGGGCCAAATCAACAGAGTAGTTCTTGTGGCCTCAGTACAGGTGATGGGAGGAGCAAAGCCTTCCCAAAGAAAGAAGGAGCCTGGCAACTGCAATAACCCCCCAAAGCCTGAACAAATGAGAAAGGAGAGGTGAGCTTTTCTCTCAATATAGCATATATTATTATACTGAAATTGCCATAGCAATAAAGCTACAGCTATTTATTATAGCATGAAGAGCTAATCAAAACCAACCATCAGAGACAGCTGAACCCTGATGAACACAGGGGTTTGGAACGGAATGATCTTTAAGGTCCCTTTCAACTCAAGCCATTCTGTAATTCTGTGAACACTCAGCCTCATAAAGTAGACTTGTTATTTTCCAGTAAATAATAAAGGGCTTAGGTAGAACATTAGCATGGCAAGGTACCAAAACAAGAGCTGTATCTAGTTTTGGATGATTTCCTGTAAAGTTTCTGATGTTGAAGGTGACTCAAAACACTGCACAACCAATCAACATTGTATGAGGGTAACTGGAAAGTTGAAAATCTGACAAATTTCTAGAGAGTTTAAAAACTAGAGGTGATGTAAAAAAACAGAGTGGGTTATTTTTCCTGTTTCACACTCAAAGGGTAATTTAACATTCTGAAAACTGTTCTGTGGCAGAGCCACAATTGTATAAAGTCTTAGAATATAAAGTTTTATAAAGTAGCTGATGGCATGGGTATGGGTCAGTTTGAAATACCATCACCTTCTGAACCTATGTGCTTGTTCTTTTGTTTATGTGCTGGATTAAAGTGACTGCCTGACTTGGACCTGGTGAGAATTCTGCGTGACTTTTGTAATATTATAGATTTTTTTAGTGATTCTTCACCTGGGAAATTGTTCAGAGAATTATCTGTTTAGTTCCATGTGAGTTTGTATTCCACATCATCATCATCTGCAACCTGCATGAGACCAGAAACTCAGGCTGTTGTGGGAAAGACAAGCCATTTCTTCCTCTTCAGGACTTCCTAAATCTGTTATTTATGATACAGAACCATTTCGCCATATGTTTGTTATACCTTTTTATTAATCTTTTCTTTAACATTGGCACTATTAAAAAAATTTAAAATGGAAGTTTCCCTATGAGCCCACACATTTACTGTAGATACAGACAAAACCAGGAACTTCTACAACACCTAATAAAAAACATTGTTTTTTGTTTCTTCATTAACTGCATCACTGCTATGGACTAATACAGCAATAGATGTTAAATGAAACATTTCTAATGATGCAATATGTATTAAAACACATCATCTGCATCCCACTGTGATTTTAGTTGCATTGCAGAAAAAATGAATGCAGTAATAGCACAGGCACCAGGAAGTTATTAGGAGGCAGAGTTCTGCCACCTTTCTTAGGTACTAGGTGGTTGATACCTGAACCCCCTTGCAGCTGGAATAAACAATAAATGTCCAAAAAGAACATGAGAATCAGTAAGGCCTTGAGGTTTACATATAGACACAATTCCTGAAAACACATCAACCTCTGGAAATATTGGTCTGTCTACTGATTCTGTGTACTTTTTAATTATTTTTACCTTTTATTTTCATTTCCCCAGAAATGTTTGTAGGAGAGGAAACATTCATTACGAGTGGTATTTCCTCCATTAGAAATAGAAACTATTATGTCTGTTTAGGTAAATCCCTTTCCTTCCTGTTTCACTTCACAGCTGTTTACTGTTCAGGGCTTATTGCATTCTGGCTGCTGCAGCACATCTCCCCCAGTACAGGAAGCTATGAAGTAATTCCTTTGGTCATTTTGGGCAGTTGTCTGTCAAACCACGACAGCAGTATATGCAAAGGATCGTCTATTTGGTGATATATATTTTTTTTTAATTGCAGAAGCAATGCAAGACTGCAAACTTTGCATCCCAACTTGCTCAGCTTTTGACATTGTTCATGTCTCACCCATTTACAAAAATAATCACACTCTTCAGAACCACATTTCAATCCTTCCTCCCTGGCATATGGGACTTGAAGTCAAACTTTTCTGCTGTTACTTTAGAAAAACAAATAAAGTTTCTTCATATTGTCACCCTTAACATGCCCCAGTACTTCAGGTGTGCTGTTTCCCTTCGGAGGGACAGCAGGTGACCGAGTGGCTTTGCAGCGACATCTCCTGGCCTGACTCCCCTGAACAGTGTCAGAGATTCCTCTTCCAGGGTGGAGAAGGTCTCGTGGATTGAGTCGAGTATTTCACACAGAGAGGAGGTAGGATGCCACTAGAAAACCAAGTCATTAACTCTGTTCAATCAGATACGTGACACTGTCAACATGATTGTCAGTTGTATAAAGGATAAGTTAGAAGTTGTTTTCTTATGCTAAAAAATATATAAATATTTGCCATTTTTCCAAAGGCTGCAAAGTTTGGACAGTATGGTAAGATGGACATCCAAAGTTGCTGTTGCAAATATCTAATCACACATTATCTAGTGCACAAATATAACAAAAACATAAAGCAATTTATCTCTGGCTAAAGTAAAAAAATAGAATACGGAAATACTTCCTCTCCTCGTGTTTAGCCATTTGAATACTTGAGACCACACAAACTAAACTAAGGGGAGAGAATCTAAAGTAGCAACATACAGCAGGTCCACAATTTATCAAGCTTCAATTTAAGAACTAGGTTTTGTCAAAGATATTTGTATATCCTCTAGAGTAAAGAAGAGTTCTTGAGGGAGGAGAGTGGAAGTTACTGACTTCCAAAGTCTGCACGGAAAACCAGTGTAGGACCAAACCCCTAAAAAGGGAGCAAGGAAAATCACACAGGAATCACAATAAACGCTGGGGATTTGTCCTTAGCTAAAAGCTCTAGTTCATGTCTTTGTTTGCTGTGAGATAATGACTCATCAGTAGCAGAAGTGAGGGGAAACCATATTTTTCCAGAGAAAAGGGAGCTCTCAGGCTAAACTGATGGCCTCTTCCAGTGAAGAACGCTGAATGTGCTGCTGAGGGAAGGGTGAGTTGATGGGAAGGGTGTTCTGGCAGAGGCTGGCAGGAACAAGGTGGCTTTCCTGCAGGGAATGTCACTGTCCCAGTGACTGGCCTTAGTGGCAGAGGCTGGTGACTCATCTCATTTTCATAACTCTTGCAGTCACGAAAAGCAAATTCCAGCCCTGGTGATAAGAATGCCTTGGGATAATTAAAATTGCTGCCACACATGGTATTTTCATGTTCAATCTGTGTCTCTTTATAAACTGTATACCCTTGCCAGGCACTTAGAAGGGTTTAGTTCTGGAATAGCAATGAATTGACTCAAATTGCTGAGTCTGGGGTATATTTCTCCATATTCTGTAGGCAGTTCCATACTGTCCCAATGAATTCCATATGAATGTTCTGTATAAATTCTGTTCAACAGAAGTAGAAGTCAGCTATCTTTGGAAGCCGTGCCCTTTCCATACAGTTTCTCAGCTGCCCACTGGAACACATTGTAAGACACACAGTGCACTCTGAGTATCTGGCAGCTTCCAGTGATCACTCTGGACTGAATGAAAAATTCAATTTACCTGTTAACTCTACTGGTATTCTTTTCAATGAATTGCACTTGAAAGTAATTGAACTAACCTGTAGCTGCATTCCTGAATGCCTTTCAGGTACAACACTTCCTCATACTGCATTGGCAATTTATTTCCTTCAGGCCTAGCCTTACAGTGGTTTCAGGCTGTAGCTTCTTCTCAAACACTTTGTAACTAGAAGTTCCTGGATTATTAAAAACACGTTATGTCCTGGATTTAGCTCAACTTTTCTGGAAAGCAATCATCTGGAAGTCAGTGTGGGATCCAGCTGTGTCACATGGATTTTCCCTGCTTTCTGAAACCATCTGTTCCACTGCTTGGGAGGTTTCTGGGTCCTGGGAGCAGGGACTGTCCAGGGTGTCACCGCTGCTGTTGCAGTGCAGAGGGGAGGCCATGTCAGAGGGCTGCTCCGAGGGTTTCCCTGGAGCAGGAGGCAGGGACACGGGCAGAGGGACATTCATCATGTAGAACACATTACCCAGACGTCGGGACACCTTTAAAGACAAAGGTACAATTGCAGTAATCACTTCTTGCCGTTAAAGCCATTAAACATCAAACGTGACGCTGGTGCAGCACCACCAGGGACATCCCAGGCATCTCAAAGGATTATCAAATTCTTGTAAAAAAATATATTCCATTTTCACTCTCATATTTTTCTAGGCCCAGGTTGTAGAAGGAGCTTGTCAATACCCAATTTAGGACTGTTGGGCCTGACAGCACCCAGGGACAGAGGGGAGGCAAACTGCCAGTCAGGAGTGGGGCAGGTGGTTAGAAATAGAGAAGATTGAGAACCAGCAATAACAGAAACACAGAGAGAGTTGATATTAGTGGATGAAATTAAGGGCAGAAAACTGCAGAGAGGGACAATCTGTTCCTGAAATATGTATAGTAATATTCCTTACAGTCTCCCTGTATGCCATGGTAACATACAGGGAAGCAAATAAAAACTTTGCTGGAGTAATTTTTTTTTTTTCAATATTCTGGCAGCTACCTTACCAATGGAAAAGAAAGTGCTTTAGTTTGGAAAAATTCCCTCCTGTCATTTTCTGGCACTTTCATGTCTCTGTGACTCACTGTCTTGTCATACATTTATTGATCATACCTGAGAGCGGATTTTTAATGCTGGTCCAAGTTTTAATCCCATTGTATCCAGGAGATGTTCCTCTGTTAGCAGTGGAAGGGTTTCTCCATCAATAGCATGGTCTTTAAATATCTAATGAAGTGATAAAACACATCATAGTGTGCTAAAATAGACTTTGGTTGTTATTTTTCATACTTAACCCTGAGGCATAAACAAAGTCATAAAACCAAGAAAGAATAATTTTACTGGTTTATATTTGTATATATCTCCTAACTGCACAAAGAAAACTACTATTGTACTTGTAATTTTGGGACAATCAACTACCCTCCCACATTTACATTTGCTGGCTGACATTTAAAGCTAGATGGTCCTAAAGACCTGAAAATGTGTCACCTGGGCATAATCTGAGCAGCCTGGGAGGCTGACAATGAAGTTGTGCACATCATCAACTGTCCACTTGCGAATGTCTTCAACAGAAGAAATGTCTTCTCCATTCAGGATCAGGCCATGAGCTCCTTTGAGGAGGAAACACAGAAGTTATCTTGGTAGAATTTTGCTGGCAAAACAGGAGGAAATGATTGCTATCGTGAGAATTTTTACACCTTTTCAGAACCTAATACATTAACAGCAGGTTGTAGTCACTTGCAGATAGAGGAGTCGGAGACAAAATCACCAGGTAATGAGCAGAACCTGGTTCTGAAGGGTTTTTTTGGTGGCTTCTTTTGTTTCCTGCTGGCACTGTACCTACCAGTCACTACACATACAAATCATGCTGCAGGAGCAGGACTTCCTCTAATAAGTGCATTATCCAGTGCTTTTTCTACTTTAGACTTTACTGTTAGTTTAATTTGACTTATATTTCAGTAGAACAGATCCAAGCCTTTGCTAGTCCATACTACCTACTGTGAGTTAGGACAAATAGAAAAGTTGTGGGCTGAAGAGAGAGGCTAACTCAGAACTTCATTCAGCAATTTTGTTTATTTTAATTGAAACTCCTTTTTAAAACAAGAACTGAATACAGATATTACTCTTTGCAGCATAAGAATTCTACTTTTAGTTGTAATGACTCTACCATACCAAGAATTCACTTAAACAGAGGGAAGAATTGAGACACCAAATCAATAAACCCAGATTATATCAACATACCACTCTAATCTGGAGATCGGACAAACCTGAAGGTAGCAATGGGTTGTTGGGCACTGGAAATCCATATGGCAACGCTGAGAATGGGATTGCAGAAGGGTACAGGTACTTGTCATCAAAAGCAGCACAGGAGCTGTTGGCTTCCTTCTCGTTTGTGTTGCTGCAGCTGGTGGTTTCAGTAGGAATTTCATGAGTAGCACAGTTTTTTCTCAAGCCTTGTTCAAACTCTTTGCAGTTCTTGGCAACTACTGCTGGCTCAGTCTGGTTTTTGCTCTGCTCATGTTTGTTTGGCGTCTCCACCTCTACTTCCTTCTTGTCTTCTTTCTCATCATCCACCGCAGCTGAGGCAGAGTCGGTGGATTTGTCATCTGCCTGGCTCTTCGTGCTGTTGGCGCTGCCCTCGGCAGTTTTGTGGTTTCCAGCTCTTCTCCCTGGGCGGCGCCCCCTCTCCCTCTGCAGGGTGCTGACTGGTGGGTATGGGCTGCTCGCCATGAGCACCGTGTTGCCATGGATCTCATCCAGGGTGGCACGATGGACATACAGGTCGTTGGCAAGGTGCCCTTCAGGGAGTCTGTGCCTGCCCCGGAAAGCAATGGGACTCGCTGGCATCCCGTGGTAAAGGAAAGGGGCTTCCAGGCCCAGAAGTCCTTTCCGATGGGCTTTCTCCATTTCCTTTTGCTGAAAAATAGCACTCATCTCCATTTCCATTCTAAGGGACACACAGAGCATGAGCAGTTAGGGCAGCTTGGTTTCTTCATCACCTTTTTTTTTTTTTTTTCAACAGCAGAATAAAACTCAGATTAATGAATGGGCAAGAGCACTGCTTATTTTGTCTCTCCCCTACATTATTGTGTGTGAGAGGGTACAAACTGCAGATGGAATGGCAAACCTGGCTGTGTGTAATGTGCTCTCAGATACAGCAAGTAAGCTAAAAGTCAGGGAAAACATATCTTCCATATGATGGCTCTGGAAAATACTTCAGACAAAAAAGCGTTATTTGCATATTGGCAATCCAGACATGAGGATTATATTCACATTTGGAAAGTAGTCTCCAGAGTCATAAAGGTTGAAGACTAAAGAGAATGATTTATCTATAGTATCACTCAGAAATTTGTACCAAAATCTGCAAAATTCCAGTGATATTGTAAATTATAAAGAGCAAGAATGATATTATCTATGGAACCTGTGCATCTATTCAGAGTAAGCTAATGCTAAGTCTCTTGAGTAACCCTCCACAGAGCCTGGCACCTGAGCATGGTTCTGAGAGTGTGAAAGGGTGAGATCCTGGTAGGAAATGTTCAACTGATCTCCTTCCTTCTGGATGAATGCTCCAGAGTCTGTGCCAGCTTCCTGCTCCTGTCATAGTGGATGGGAGGGCTTGTCAGTGGGATACAGAGAATACAAGTATTTGTATTGTATTTGTAATAGTAGTATTTGTCTCTGCTGTACCAACCTTTACATGAGTTTCTCTGCAGCCAGGCCAGTGATCAAACAGAAAGTAGAGCTCCTAAAGGAGCTTTGAGGAGCTTGCAGTGGAATTTCTGCATCTTTGGAAAAGAGCCTGTGAAGTAAAGCACTTTAAAGTGCATCAAGATAGCTTTCTTAACACTGCAATGAGTATAACAGGTCACAGAGAGTCTGATCTTCAGGAGAGTGTAAAATTGTCAGGAGAACAGTTTGGGCAAAAGCCATGTATACAGATTTTTGGTATGAGGAGGAATTATTTGATCACACCATTGAGGGGCTTTTTCTCTGCCTTCTTTTAATCTTTGAAACAACCTCCAACTTAGTGATTTTCTGCTTTCAGAGATACAAAGGAAATGTTTTGTCTATGTACTGTGTCCTTGTATGCTTTGCCTGATTGTCATTACTCCCACCCAGCTCTTGAGGTAGCAATAAACAGCAGAAAACATTACATTCCTCCTCCTCCACCTGAGATAGTCTGTTCCTGTCAGGACCAGCAAACAGAGCTTTGGGATGAGGCAGAGTCCCTTGGAGAACAAGGATTTGAATCCAGGTGCTCAGCAGCACAGCTGCTGCAAGGGCAGGAGATTGTCCATACCTGATTTCTGGAACAACTGAAAGGAGCAAGTGCAGCCCTAAAGGTGATCTGTGCTGCAGAAAGCTGTGTGAACAGGGTGGAAATTGTCAGGGTGGCAAAAAAGTGGGGTAAAAGGTTTTTAAGGTATAGGTGAGCTGTTTCATGTTGGAGTTTTGTTGTTTGGTGGGCTGAGGGAAGAGCCTGAACAGCTCTGATGTGGCTGTGGGTGTATGAGATGGCCATGTTTGCTGCTCATTTTTCTACTACTTGTTTTTCTCAGGGTTTTTGCCATGTGGCAGGAGCTATAGGCAATGCATTGCTGATGCAAATCTTGTGCTTGGAGGAGTTCAGTAATTAAGCTTTGCTTATGTCGGAATCTGTGGGTATTGGTGATTCCGAGATTGTAGAAAGTCTCTGTCTTTCTGCCCCGTTGCCAAAGAAGAAGCCATAGTTCGTCTGTGCTGGTTTCAAGGTTGTTTATTTTTGCTTATCTATAACAAGTTCTGCTGCCCTGCCGCAGGTCTGTCCTGCAGGGCAGTGTGTGGGGCTCTGCCCTCAGTGGGATGGCACAAACATTATATACCAGAAATTACGTGTACTATATTTACAATAATGTGCCAATATCTATCATCTACGTTGAATAGTGTGTCCCTAGCCTAAACCAATAGAAAAATGCCAACATCACCAGGAACATGGAGGTAAGGAAGAAGAAGGAGGAAGAACAGGTTCAGGCCCACTTTCCTCCATCTTAGAACTCCTGACCCCCCTGTACAAAGTAAAACCCCCCTGTACAGGTGTTAAAACCCCCCTGTACAATACTAAAAAATTTTACCCTCTAATTTGTGACTACTTTTACTATATCATCTAACCCTCTGTGACTGCTTGTTCCACCTTCAAAGTTGGTAATTCATTCCATGGTTCAAACTCAAAATCACAGCTGTTTTCTGCTGTTTGCCAGGGTCTAAAATGCTTCTGACCAAGGCCTGGAACCTCTAAAAATGTCTGAGGGACATTTTGAGTTCCGACATGCTTACTTAAGAGCTCAAAACACTTCCCTCATAACCATTTTCCAATGAATGTATGGAACTTGGCTGTTCTTTGCTCTAGTCTCATTGTGTGAGGGACACTCCCACTGAGTAGTGCAGCCAGTCCAGGAGTGACTGAGGTTAGAATTCCTCTGTGGAATTCCTCTGTGGAAGGGCACTGGTGGTCTCTTAATCAGCTATTTACTACACTGAAACTGGTACAAATAAGTGGACTTTCTACAGTCACTCTGCTATTCCAACTCTTTGGTCAAACTAGGAAAGCTGCCCACCCTGGTAGGGTGGAGATACAGCTGCTCATCCCAAGGGCCCTGCTACAGGCCTAAATTGTTGTGTGTGATATCACACAGCTGCAAAGTTGGAATTTGTTTCTGAACTTTTGTAAATTCAGGATGTTTGGATCCACACTTCAAGGACTGTGGCTGTAACTTGTTCTTTTCCTTAACCAAGCTAAGGGGTTTGTTTATTTTTGTTGTTTTGTTTGCTTTTAAAAATAAAAGCAAACTAGGGCAAGCAGAAAGTCAGCAGGTTCAGGCCTTAATTAATACTCAAGGGCCCTCTGCATCTTTGGGTGGCTTGTAAAACAATCTCAATCACTTTGTTGCTTTAATCCTGGCATGAACCTCAGAGCAAAGCTTGCTATTGATTACCTGGCAATATTTTGCTTTTGAACCAGCTCTTGTCTTCTGGCCACAGCTTCCATGGATTCTGGTTGCAGAAAGCTGTATCCTTAGAGGGAAGGAGAATAAAAAAAAAAATCTTTAAAATTCACTGGTTTCCTCATGCAAATGCACAACCCCCAAAGCAATGCAGAGACACTTTAAAAAGCTTTGTAAGTCTTCAACTCTGGGCTTCACCAAGAAGATGATAGGATTTCAAGTTAAAGCCAATTTGTTGTCTTTGTTTTGGTGGCAATATGTAGAAAGAACATGAAGTCCATCATCAGGTGTTTTCAGGATCAGATCTTTAGTTAGGAATACCTGCCATCAACCACAAAAGGTGGTTTTATTGGGTGACATATGCCTTTGAAGTACATATAACTGCTCAGAAAATAACAGCCCTCGGTTGAGCAAAGCAAACCTACTCCTTCAAGATTGTTTTCAGCCTGGAGGCTGTGTTATTTTAAATTACATTTCATCTTAAGATCCATGTTAAGGCTGGCAAAGAAGCTGAAATCAGAAATTTTTCTTGGTGTATTGATGTGACATTGAAAATACATTCACTCATCTCAAAGAAAAATTCATAAGTTCACTTTGTATAAAGTAATATGTAAATTTTTGTGCAGCATGACATGAATGCCATAGTTGTGATATTCAGCCTTTCCCCTTGGAGCTGTGCCCTCTAATTTAGAGTCTTTATTAAAAAGGACTTGTGTTTGCCCTACATGAATTAAGTGACATGTGGTATTATCATTAGAACATATGATCTGCATAAAGCAGCCAATACTTATATAAGAGCAAGAGTAAAATGTAGTGTAAAAGTGTTGATGAGGAGCTATTTTTTCAGCTGTAGCCTTTTGTTTGGATGTGAAAAGGCTTGGAAAATACAAAAATAAAAGGAGGTAATAAAAACATGCAAAAGACTGAGAACTGTATTTAACAAAGGATAAAATGGACATGCTTAGACCTAAACCGGCACAGGCTGCCTCCTTTTAGTGAGACTGTTTTTCTAAATAAAATAAACAAAACTGTCATTGACACTACCGAGAAACCTATGGAAAACTAGCAGGTGCAATTGGCTTTCTGATCCACATGGTCCCACTTTTCAGGATGCTGAGGGTGCTTTGTTACCTGGGCCTGGGTAGACACGGTTGGACAACAGGTTTGGCATGTTGGGGTGCTGTGGGACTGGGGGTGCCAGGTGGGATGCCATGTGCATTTGTCTGGGGTCAGCTGAGGCCATCATTTCAGTAGAAGGAAGCAGATCTCTGAGAGGAAAACATTCAGATATGCAAAGGATTTAGTTTAGTTAAGAATAACCAAAGGTCTTTACAACCTCAGGGGCAGCACACAGAGAGAGATAAACTGCAGCGCTGGCACAGAAATTGCTGCCCGGTACCTGTCCACCAGCCGCGGCTCAAACTGGCCGGGGATCGCCTGCATCCTCTGCTGGCCCGGCCCCATCAGCTGCGGGTTTACTGCCATCAGCTGGTTCCTCATCAGCATCTCCTGCCGCTGCCGCAGCTCTGCGAGGCACACACAGTTAGTTCTGCACTCAGAGAGATAAGTTAGGAAGTGATTCTGACTGCGGTATAACCTTACCAGAAAAAAAAAATGTTTTGTTTTGTTTCCTCTAGTGCAATTCACACTTTTTTTTTTTTTTTTAATAGCAGCAACTGAAAATATGTTTTCACTGACACCTGAACTACTTTGTTTAAATAATGTAGATTTATTCAATCAAACCGCAGTAAAAATAAATAGGATGTGCTCAGTCAAGTGTATCAAAGGACAAATTACAATGAATAATAATTTACATAATACTGTGAAACTGCAGATAGCCATGAATGTTAAGTTCTCTGCTTGAGAGGGTTTTCATTTCTAATACAGGTTCATTTTGAGAAAAATCATACTACGTGGAAACTGCATTGTCATGAGAAAGCAGCTCTAGAAGAAAAAGCCCACAATGCTGAGCCAGAACATCATAATGCCCAGCTGTGGCTTTTGTTCTGAGTTCTTGTGTGCCATTTACTTTCTTCCACGTGCTCAGCATCTCTAAATCAAATACTGAATTTCACGAGCCCTCTGTGTTAATTTTTAATTACCTTAAGCAAAGTATTTCTGCAGTTACTCCTAGGATAAATTTGAAATAACCATTTAAAGACACCAAATCTGCTGCTGGCTGTTTCTTGTAGGTTGTAGATGCCAGCAGTGCTGTAAGCACATGTCCAGTGGGGTTCCTTAGTGCTCACCTCCTGCTGCCATGCTGCCAGCCAGCCGGTACAGGTGCTTTTCCTCCAGTGATCCCTGCTCCCCCAGGATGGACATCTTCCTCATGTGCTCCCGGGGAGTCATGCTGCAGGGACACAGCAACAACGCTGCTGCTGGGAAGAAATGAAGCAGCAGCACCAAAGAGAGGAATAAGACATTCAGCAATGAGAAACAGAGAAGGTTATGCAGGTTGTTTCCCAGCTAAGCAGGTCACAGCTGGACCCTTCTGTGACTTTGGGTTGTAATGTTTTCCATGTAGAAACTTCCAGCTTTCAGGACAATGCAAATATTGCCCTTGCTTACACTGAGTTGTTGGATCCTACAATACAAGGAAAATCAGGGTACTGGAAAATAACACCTGCTCAAAAGGAGGTAATTAAGCCCAAGCCTTTGCCTTCAGCCCCTGGTGTACCTGAGAGCAGTGATGTCCTTATACTTAGGAAGGCAGATGTCTTTGGTTTAATTTCAGAATTGTAATGGTTTGGAGCCCTGACCACTGTAAACTAAGTGAAGTAGATGGAAAGAAATTGTAGAAATTATCTGTTCCAAATGACATCAGTCCCATAAGGTTGCCAAATTGAAGTAAAAAAGGTAAAAGAATGTGTTTTGTAGTGAGGAAAACAGTGATAAAACCACTAAGACTCAGATTAATGATAAATTAATATATGTAATTAAAATATACATAATTAATAATTGTAAAGGAAGCAAGGCCTGTAACCCAGAGCCTGGATGTTGAAAAGCTATCCTGTATGGAATGCTTTGAGTTGAGGAGTTGGCAGAGGGAGCAGGCTGGCTCTCAAGGCTGCATCAGGAGCATCTGTAAATACATGTCACACTAGACTTGCACAGCAAATGATTAGAATTTTAAAATAATTTTAAATTATTTTTTTAAATAAGGAGTTGTATTTCCATCCCCATTTAGCTCTGATGAAATGGATTCTTTCTGTTTTCTGAAAGAAGGAAGATGTAATGCTGAAGTGTTCTCATCCTGCAGATAGTTACAGCTCCAGGAGTTCAGCCAGCATTTGGTATAGGTAACAGTGAGGGAAATGCAAAGACAGGAACACTGTTCCTTATCCAAAAATGAGATTAGAGGAAAGTCCTGTGTTTTGTTACCCAAGCCATTTATAAATTAAATTTATCATTATAGCTTCTTTTATTGCCTTTGACCTATTGATGAGTTTAAAATAATTTAAATGATAGATATCAATCTAATTCATGTGCCTAAGGAATTTACCATTTCTTTGGTAAGAGGGAAATACTTGGTCTAAAAATGAGTTTACTAAAAGGGTAAACAAGTGAGTAATTTCAGCCATTTATACTGAAACTAGAGGCTGAATTTAGACCATACCACTGGTGTTCCCTCAAATAGCAAGTGCTTTACATTTGTAAGAGTAGATGTTGGGTTCTGTGTTGGCCAAGATTTAGGTCTTCATAGCAACAGACAAGTCTGTCAAATCCCAGACCAGCACCACAGCCTTTGTTCTTGACATTTGTATCTGAACATGTTTCCATTTGCCTTTTTTTTAGGATACTTTAGACTTAAAGCGATTTAGGATGCTGGGTGCCTCATGAAGAGCATTTGAGCTGCCAAAGTGCTTCTGAGCTGCTAAAGCACTTTAAAGCTCAGTACTAAAGCGATTTAGTGCTGGACTAAACTTTTCAACAGCTCAAAAAATAGGTGGTAACTGGGATGATGGTATTTGCCATACCATATTGTTCAGTAAGCCATTTAGGTGTTTTTATTTCTTGGATAGAGACTCTGTTTTGAGCACTCTGCAAAACAAACTGAAATGTTAAACTTCATACTGCCCTTCTTACAGCCTGGCCTTTGGCTTTTGTCTGGCTCTTTTTTTCTGGAGAAACCTGGTCTGCCTGAAGATGTCAGTGCTTATTGCAGGGGCCTTGGACTAGATGGTTTAAAGGTCCCTTCATGCCAAACTGTTCTGTGATTCTGTGAAGGTGCAAAGAAACCATCCGAGGTTCAGATAGCATAATGGAAAAAAGACCCAGGAAGTTTCAACCTTTTTATTCTAGTAAATCAGGGGAGAAAAATAAAATTAATAGCAAATTTTAATACTGACATGTTTGTGTCTCAGATGACTGACACATTGTGCTGCTTTTGCATTTTAGGAACTGCTAGAATGTGTCAGTCTCCTGTTTAAATCAAAGTTGTGAATGTGCTTTTTTTTTTGGAGAAATGTCCCTGTGTGGGAAAAAGACACACAAGTAAAAGACACTTTCTTCATCAGGCCTTCCTAGAACTTCTACACTTCCCCCTAAAATCACACCTGTGACTAAAATTATATGATGCAATTTTGAATTGTAGAATCATGGAAAACCCGGTGGGAAGAGAGCCATCTGTTCTGGCTCAAATCCCTCCTGTGGGTCCCATGTGCCCTGCCTGTTCTGACAGACATCCATTCAAAAGCAAGCAGCAGTAAGTGGTTAGAAACCAGTAGCACCAGTATCACTGTGGTGTTCTTTGAGTCGTCTGTTGTTCCCAAAATAAGTCTGGATTTTGTGTTGGATGTGAAGGCTGTTGACAGGCAGTCTCACACTGCCTCCTTAAGAGATGAAGCAGAAACTATGTCAGAACTTTCTTTAAAACTTCTATTTAAATATGAGGTTTTCGTTCAAATGTTGTCATTTTCCCAGAATATAGGGTATTGATTACAGCAGCATCCACAGCAAAGTGATCCATATTTATTGATATTATCCACCAGATGACCAAAATTTACAGACCACCATTTCAGACAATGTGCATCAGATAAACAACTTATCCTTGCAAAGGTAGACAATGTGGCCTTTTGGTTTCACATGGAAAAGATACAGTGGATATATTCCATATATAATGGAATAATATGATTTAAAAGTTCTTTGGTATCTTTCTCCACTAAAGCTGTAGCTTACTGTTTCCACTGACCCAGTTTTTGAATCATCATAAGTGAGGCTTTTCACTGGAGCTGCTTCATTAAATCATTCTGTTTTTTTTATTAATTGCCAATCAATCCTATCTAACTTATCTTGAATTTCTTCTCAGATGCATAAAAATAACTGTGGTATTTGTGATATAAAGTTGAGATGTTATTTCCACCAGAATTCTTATCTCTTTCTGCAAGTTGAAAGGCAAAATATCCATAAGATTCAAACTTACTTTAAAGGACATGTTTTGTATGTGGTATCTGTATTAAATTACTTCTTTATTTCCCTGAATTTCCTGTTAGTCAAGTCTTGAAATGATCAAATGAGATAAATAGCTTAATAATCTAATATAAAGATCTGTATGTAACTCTGTGTCAGGAGGAAGTACTGACCCTAACTAATCCATGCTATTCCATTTGGAAAAAAACACCTTTTCAGTTACTTAGCTGGGGTTCTGACTTGCAGGTCAAATTTAGGGTAGTTTAGGTTCATACTATTTTCATAACAACTCACATATTAGAAACCACACCAGCTGAGGAGGATCTGTGAGGGAACAGGGAAAGTACACTTCTGATACATTTATTAGCTGGGATTTGAGAGGAGCTCAAAATCTGGCATCAGGGTTCATATAAATTCATACACACCAGCTGTCCAGCGTTAGATTCATATATGGCTCTGCTCTGATCCTATTGCACAAATCCTGGCTGTACAGCACATTACAGGGATGAAGACAAGTTAATCTCTGCCTTTAGAGTCTTACCCTTAGCAAACCCTTCTTGGCAGCAGGCAGAACCACTCACCCAGGACTAATTCTGTCTCAATTTATTAGATGAGAAGTGGCAAGACACGAACTTCATGAACCAGAAGCATTTTCAAATCTAGTCATGCAACAGTTTCAAAATGTCTATAGCAGTCTACGTGTTGATGTTATCAATTGCTTTGACAAAACATGGTTTAGTCATATATAATATAGATTGGTTGGAAGACTTGTTTTTTTTAGTTAAATGCACTGAGATTTCATTTACAAATACTGCTTTTATTTACATCAAACACATGGAATTAATATTCTTTAAAGTCCATGTTTAGTGAACTACAGCAGTGTCTCCACAGTCTGGAAGAAGCTGAGCATTGTTTAAAATGCTCAGGTAAATCAGTCAAACACACAATATGAACATGTATTCATGCTTATGAGGGAAACATATGAATGAAGATGTACATAATCTCATTTGCATTTCCATTGGCTTCCCTTTTAGAAAAAGCTGATCTGACTGCTTGAGAAATCAGGTACTGTTTTAGAAAATAAATATTCTAATATTATTAATAGTCTTAATGTTATTAGTTACTGGATCAAGGGTTCTTGCTCTGAATCTAGGCTGAAGGTCATGAAACTAGAGTTTGTAATTGTTCCAGAATCCACAATCAGCAAAATAAACAACTTTTGGAAAGGAAAAAAGCAGTTATGCTAGCATTATGTCATACAGGAGCATGAAATATGTCTTCTTAATTGGAGTAAGGTACCATTGGAGAGACAGTGGGGCTAAATTCTAATCCTAGATATGTGGGCACAGACTGCTCAGAGACTTGAGATTAGAGTGTAATCCTAAAACTGGATTGAGAACGATACATTCCCTAAAGAAAGGAAAATAACTCTATTTATACTGTGTGTGTCAGCCAGCAGAGTTTGTGTTGCATGCCTTCACACTGACTGGGAGACACGGACCTGCCCGTTCTTGAGCCAGCTGATTGGTAAAATTGTGAACAGCAAGTCACTCTGTTTTCTAAACACGCTGTTCTCAGCCAGTAGTCAAGGCTCAGCGCTGGCAAACTCAATCCTTCAGGAACTAA